CAAGCCAAAAAAGTTTTTTTCTAATTAATGTACAATAAGATAAGGAGTTTAAAGAAACTGCTCATTTACCTATTGGTACAGCGCAGATTCCCTAAGAGATTAACCTTACCCAGCAACATGGATTACAAGTGATATTGATCTATCGCAATTTTAAAGTCAATTGCTACAGTGTTTGGGAACATTAAATACGCCAGGTTAGCTTAATTGCTTGACATTTGGGTAAACTCAATTTATAATATCAGTAGTCAGTTGCTAAGGCGGACCTATCATATATCCATTTGGCTATGACTATTCCATAGTCCAATTTAGCATCAGAGTCCTCTTTCTTTCTTTTGCTTTAGCCATCTCTGAATTTTTAGAATTTTCTCATTAACTTCTTGCTTGTCACATCCAAACGTTATTCTCATACAACAATCGATTTTTCGGAACTTTCGAAAATTCCCCTATCCTATCTCTAACTTTTCAAATTTTTGCGTTATTTTTATAGGATGCGTGTCAGCGGATTTCTTGTGTTCATTGCTTGTATCATCGCTTGGGCGTTCGCATCACCGGTAAGCGATACGGAAGCAGCATACAGGATATGTAAGTAAAACCTCTTTCCTTACCCTAACGTACTAATAAGTATAGAAATAACTTAAGTCGTTTCAGTGAATAAATATCTTCAACGATTTGGCGGTGACGATCTGCAAGATGTCTATTTAGTTGGAGATCATGGGTAAGTCTAGGGTGAAGTTCTAGGATTCCTCAGTTCAAGTTGAACTTTGATCCTAAGTAATTAATAGCAAGAAATGGGAATAGAAACGATTACCTATGTGCATAAAATTATCGCCCTGTAGGCTGCCTAGGGGGCTTAATGACGAGATCATCCAATTCATTAGCGATGCTAGTTTGTCACTTTGAAAGTGATGAATTGTTTCCCATAGTAGTGTCTAATTATCATGCCAAGGTTAATTTTCCCCTTCTGGGGTTAAATTGAGTAGGTAGTAGCAGATCAGTTAACATAACTAGAAAATAGTTTTTGCAAGTTCGGCAAGCTTATACTGCATTTTCGGATAAGATTGTACGGTTTTTTTCCATACCTAAACCCCAAAAAATCGAAAATTTATCGGTGAATCATACATCATCAAAAGCGAATCTCCATTAAATGTATTTAGCTTCCAATTTTTATTTTCAGCCCCACTATTCCTCAAAAAGTAGTATTAGATGTGCAAAAATAAGCCCTTCCAGCGTTTCTTCTTTAGAAGTCCGAAAGCTTAAATTTAAGTTAACGACGGAGAGGTGAAGCGTATCGCAAAAAAAGATCCACCACAAAATAGGGTTTTTTCGCGATAAGCACAAAAGTACTCAAATGTGCCTTTACAGGCAAATCTGTGCTTTTGATTTTTCCATCGCCTTAGCGCAACCCCATAGTAGGGTCTAGTCCTGCAAAATGGTTATGATTTTCGTGATAAAGATGTGAAATAACCCCATTTCATATAACGTGTAATGTAAAGTTCTCATCGTCCATTACCGTAAACCTACAAGAAGACTATAGTTTAGTAATTTTTCTAGTATTCGTAATGATAATTACAACAATGTAGAATAGTAGTTGAGCATGAGCATCTGATGAGCGGATTCTTGATGAGCCTTTAATTTACGCAAACTTTCAATCGTGCAAAATATGATTCTTGCTTTATTTCCAGTGTCACTATGAAAATTTGGGAATTTTCGCCAAATAATTTAATAGAAAACCAGGGGAGATATGCTTAAAGGTTTGCGAAATAGAGAACCAGACCGGCAAGAGAAGAGAAAACGAATATCTATGTTTAACCCCCTTTCTACTTTTCCATTTGCTACCGTCTTTGGCAGTTTTTCTAAGATTTGATACGGGCATAATATTGAATCGGTGGGGTCGGGTAATGCTTACGAGAAGAAAGTAGAGAGGATGATAAGAGGAATCCGTAATTACAATTTCTTTCATGATGAATGTATAAAGAAAATATTCCTCGAAGAATGATTTTCAGTTTTCACAATGTTTGATGATAACTGTATCCACCGAGATCTTCACTAGTCATAATTGTTTGCAAGATTTGATTTTCTAAATTATTACGTTGTCTGCAGAAAGTGCAGCCATGTTTAAAAGACCAAATATTCAATTATTCCGTTTCTGCCGTTAGTCATACTAGTATTTTTCATGGAATTGAAAGAATGGTTATCAATCTCTAATTAAAGAAAGATTATTATTTCGAAGCAATAATAATGTGGAAAGCTTTTTATGCGGATTTAGAAGAAATCCTAATTGCCAAATCAATTAGAAATTACTCTGGATCAAACTCTAAATTCAATTATCTCATCTAGAAATTTACAAATTACACTAAAAAATTACTATTTTCTATCTCAGAAGAAAACAGTTTCAAATGGAATGTGAAAAAAAGTGGAAATAACAACAAAAACAATTACACCACAAAATTATGCTCCATATCATAAGAGTTTCCGGCATTTCCCAGCATTCACTATCTTTTCATAGCTTCGAAAAACGATCAGTCACTTCAAGAGTCGGACAGCCAGGTTAATGTCCATACATCCCAATTTCTATCCTATCGCTTCAGTGCTTGCTCCGATTGTGACGGTTTGATTATGATTTTAGGAAATCCTAGAACTTTAAGATTGTCCATGGTCGGCTGTTCTTGAGTCAGGCCTCGGCACAGGTCTCCGATTCAACCTTACGAGAACGAATACCCGCTTGAAGACCCAAAAATTTACGAAGCCTCCTTTGTAACCTGAACAAACGCATGCAATCAGAACAAGCACTGCAGTGCTGTATACTTGGAGCGCGTTTTCTTCAAACAATTTAAGGCCTTAGCAAGAAAGTGCTGTGATCTGATTATTGCGCTGTAAGTTGGATCAAAGGGCGCACAAAAAGTGTTTGCTGTAAGTAATGCAAAATTATAAGAAACAAAAAAGTGTTTAATCGATGACCTGAGGTCTCCCG